TCAGGCTTATTTCGTCGTAATTCAGCCAATCACAAACTTGACAACCGTTTGCAACTAGAAACGTAAGCATACCGAAGTACACCAGTACCTCACCACTCGACTATCACGCGAATGTGTGCTTGCTGTATGTCTCCATGTCGTCTAGATCGACTGCCGCCTGTTCCAAATATCCCCAATATCTTTGTACGCGGCATTCATACTGACATTCAATGGATGACTCACCCTACTGGATGGCTTAGACAAATTTCAGCCCTCTCATGAATGGCAAATGCCAACAACATGAGTTCTGCCCCGTACAAGGAGGTGCCCGTTATGTAGACGTGCCTGTTATGCATGGGAACGTGAAACGGGTGAATTCACTTGTTTAGCATCAGCTGACACTCATAAGTGTGTGCAGAGGCCGATTTTCTAGTCTGTCCGCAATATACTGTGCCACAAGTCCCACATGACATTTCATAGATGACTTCTCTCTAACCAAAATGGCCAACCTCATCTTTGGTTTATGCAGATTTGGCGCGTGTCACCTCTTGACTTGTCAGTGCTTTAATTCCAGACACGCCCTTCACGTAGGGCAAGGTTCGCCAGATGCATGATCGCAAGCTCCTCTTCCTTCTGACTTCCTTTAACTCGTACATACCCGATGCGATCCTTTGTACCTGACATTTGGCGCGTTTTGTCACCAAGTTCGCGTGGTATCTGGTACTCCTAACTATATCATTCATACTATAGCAAGATGACTGTCCAAGGGAGGAAAACACAAGGCGATCTCCTGGGATGTTTTGTTTGTCTGTCTGACGCTCCGATCTTCCACGTCGATCCATTGTCACGGCCAAAGGAAACGCGGACAAAGGTGGCTGAAAAACGCGCGGCCTTCACGAGGAGGAAAATCAATTCCGCAAGTTTTCCGTGTTTCTTACTGCATGCAAAGGCGCAATTGCCTTCTAACTCTATCCAAAAGACGCTTTTGCAGCTCTGCTTAGTTATCAAATATTTGCAGTATCCAGTGTGTGGCCTCCCATAGTTGTATAAATTAACGTACGACACACTAGGGGGTGATTTTTAACTACGCGCTTCACCCCAGTCAAAAATTCCTCGTTTCCGGGATAGTCATGATTACATGTGAGGGGTCTTGTCTCCCCACTGTAGGCCGATCGTGGTAAATTGCATTGTATAGACTAGTCAACGCGGTAAGGTCGTCCGTGCGTGGGTTAACAGTAGTCTCAACATCGTCTCCCAATGAGTTCAGAACCTGCTTTTGTATGGCATGCAGCAGGCTAGAAAAACACATCAAACACCTATCAGGATCTTTAAACGTGCTTCCTGCAGACAGGATCGCTTGGGCGAAGTTATAATGCAGACCAGAATGAGACGCAGCCAATAGTCACCTTAAACACAATACCGCTCAGGTTCTCGGGTGAGTACAGTTCCAGCCACCTCTGACAGTCCTCATCGGGCGAAGATAAGCACCACGCCTACTTCCCACGTTTGTATGAATACAGTTGGATTTTCCAGGAATACTTCATAAAAATCGTCCTCTCGACTCCTACTTCGTGGAAAACTGCATCCTTAGGGAACGCATACTCCGCTTTGTGGTCATTCGTCATAATGAGACATGTAGGCACTCCCATATTCGTGTAGATCAATACCCTCGAGTTTAATAGGGCGGTTCACAAAGGCATGTGATGCGACTCAGAGCTGCTTTCGAATTTTATGAACCGTCTCTGTAAAAGGACAAGTCACGTCGTCCGGGAACCTGAGACAAGCGAAAACGAAGGTTTCGTCCCAAATAAGTCGCTGAATCTTCCCTGTTAAACAATTTAACCATGAACTGCAATAAAGCACAAACGACATGCAAAAGAAGTCTGCACACTACATCTAGTCGGCAGGCAAACTTTTCAGACGCGATGGGACTGAGCAGGAGAATACATACCCTCCCCCTCCCCAACACTACACGTGGCCTCGCCCTAAATTCCAGAGGATCTAGGGCAAGTTCAGGTCAGTGCTAGGGTTGAGAGGTTCAGGACTAGTTAAAGTGAAGGTTAGGTTCCAGATGTTTCAGGTCAGGGTTGAAATTAGGACACAGAAATAGGAGACCCCGGAGTTTAGCGCGGACAGCTGCTGTAACGGGGGGACGTCCACATCCCCGTGTCCAACCCGGAATGGGAATAAAGTTCGCACGCTCTCCTACATCTAATCGACCGGCAAACCCTTCAATCTGAGCTCGCTACCAGCAGTCGGTAGATGCGCGCCCAAAATTTGACCGGTGCTGACGTCAAGGACGAGGAATGGTCATTGCCGGCTTGTAGCCGTCTACAAGCCGTTGTCCGATCCACAGAGGGAAGAATCGGGCCGACTGAAGATCAATCCAAAATCTGGTCGTTGCTGTCAATTGTCTTTGGCAGGAATGCTCCCTACGAATAAACAGTTTGGAAGGACGGTCTAACCCATGGTCAAATTTCCCCAATAGGTTGGTTCGGAACACTTGCCGATAACTTGTGGTCAGCGCGACGTTACTTATCGTGCTTTTAATGAACTGAATGGGCCGCAACACAACAAGCAGTGCTATGAGTTTGCGCGGATACACGTTGGAGCACGTTTAGGAACCATGTGCCCGTTACAAACTGACCGTGCACCTGACGGAAGTGGCAATCAGAAACGTCGGATCGTCCAAACTGGTCAACATAGCTGGTCAGTGAGTCGAACCAGGTGGCCAGACACGACGTGCTGGACAACCGCGTTACACAGGATGCTAAAATATGACGGAGGCCTGTGAACCCATAACTGTCTGGCACTAGCTGGCAGTCGTAACCAGGACTAACCCAGCCGGCCCACGTGCGCCACAGACAGTCCCACCGTGCCCAGGCACTGCGCCTAAAGAGCTCGACGTACTCGCTTGGACGGCAAATGATATCTAGGGTTGAGAGCGGGGCCACATCGGTACTCTGGCGACATTGTCCAGTGCCTCATGACCGCACTCAGCACAGGGCGGCGCTGGCTTGGACAGCAGCACTGAATCACCGACGGGGGACGCAAGCAAATCAGTCCTCTCTAGGTCGCAAAGTACGTCGAGGATACTGTCCCAGTAGGTTCGGACCAACCTCCGTACTTTATTCCGAGGACATGTTCTGATACAGTCGGCAGCACCAAGCCTCAATCCATTTTTCCACAGCCTACTACCCACAACCTTTTATAAGAAAACTGACCGGGAATAGACGCGCGCGAAACCACAGTGGTGTGTACACCATGACGGGGTCAGGCGCTCCTTAGGGCTTGTATACGCTGCGAGTACCGGCTGTTCGGATAGTGTAAGCTGTAGGTCGGTATCCTCTGGCTACGCTGAACTCCGCATACGACAGACCTTGCTGGGCCAAATTTACCAGATTTCGCACTGTAGTGTAGATTGGTTAGCTGGTCTTCTGAAGTTTGGCGCCTCGACCACACTTCCCAGGGATTCTGTGAACGGAGTCAAATCGGTGAAGGGAAGCTTCCTCCACAATCGCAGTCAATTCGAAAGCCGGCTTGTTTGTGCGACCGCGACCGTTTCGTATCCAAGATGACTTAGGGCGGAAGATAAAGAGTTGTGGCACTTCCTTGGCACAGAAGCTACATCCCACACCCATATGGCACTATGGCCAGAATGTACATGCTGGAGGAGTCGTCAATCACAAAAGTGGCGAACCTACGTTGGTTGTAAACGTTTCGAATTACAGGTTCAATAACAATAAAAACCCTGTGTTTGGGGGAATAGACATCATTGTGGAATTGATGGCCCTAATCACTGCAGCCGACTTTAACACGGTTCAAAAGGCAACTCGCTACAGCGCACTCCGAACCCGCTGAGATGGAAGAACCCGAAACAAATCCACACTGCCAAACAAGAGCTACTGAAGTGTCCAGTAGATCGACCCACGTCTACCGCATGGCTCCTCTAATGCAGGAATTATGGGAAATTTTTACCGCTCGGAAGACATCTTCGTTTACACTGATCTGGTTACTGCCTACTAAATGGGCTTAATACCTCTGCATCCCCAAACAAATTGACTCAGCCCAATCCTAAGCGACGTGCGGCAAGACACCCCCAGACGGTACAGTCTTAATGCCGGGCTGTATTGTAGGTTCTTGTGATAACTGATCGCACCCTCCTAATTAGATTTGACGTTCGTACATGACGGCGTGGTCATGTTGAATGCCGGCGAACAAACAGCAGGAGTCCTGGATGCCCATTATACTTAGTAATGCATCTCGAGTCTACGATAATTTGACGGACGTACCGGGCTGCACTTACAAACAATCAAATGTGCTACCCACGAAGAGCAGGACTCCCAGGTGCTCTGCACTTGGTTTGGTTGTGATCATGACTGAGCCACTTTACGTTGTAAGTTTCTTGCGCGACGCTCTCCGTGCATGGCAAACATCTGTGAAACAGGTGGGCTTTCTATAATCTCCCCGGCTGTTGACACCGGATGTTTAAAGTGCAAGTCATCTCGACGGTTTGACAGCTCGAAGTAAGGATTGAGGTAGATTGTGTCGAGGTCACCCAAACCCACAAACGCGATCGTATTGTATGAAATCCCCCACGCATCACGCACCAGGCGCTGGCATATGACATGGACCTACGCTTTCTCCGCTCAGGCTTAAAACCGGTGCTTATCTGAATTGTCATTTTAAGATGGAAACACCAACAACGACTAGCAACGACATGTTTGGTCAATTAGACTTAGTAAAACTAGCCTACATCTAAGAACCATGGCGATTCTTGGCAAACATTCTGACGCTGTCAGGACACTGAACTAACAAAAGAAGTATGGTGCCTTGGACAATTACGAATATCGTAGGTACCTAGGACGGCCTGCATTATTTCCTCATAACAAAATAGAGTACAATAAGTCAGTGGGGTGACTGCGAAAATTTTGGTGGCAAAAACTGGCAGTGAAACTCAGTAAATAGGGGGGTTGAAAGAAAGGTTAGCCGAGGAACAACAACGCATCAGCACTGAATTCCTAGTTGTAGCCCGACGAGTAAGTGAACCTACGAACAGAAGAAGGAAACATTAAATGTGTGCTCAAAACCCCTTGCACAGGGAAAGGAAGCCAACAAAACGAAGCGAAGGCCAGGATGCCACGCAAATCAATTAAACTCGGCGTATGGGCTTAAGAACGTAAAGCACGTGAAAACCAACGTTGGAATTGACTGGAGAATTGTTTATCTTAAACTAACAAATGAAAGGGAACAAACCTTGATGGTGACGCTTGGAAGTGAAGGGAGGGCATCAGGTTCTGGACTTGGTTGCATGTGGTACGCTGATAAGCGGCCGGGTAGGTAGGTGATAATGGCACTTGTGAATTGGATGGCATAGGTTGCATCAACTGGCATGCTGCAATGTTTTGCTGGTACTGACGTAAGAGGTTCAGTTGATGCAACATGGCCGACATGTTGAGCGAAGCTGCCGTTTTTGACCTGTCTATATGGCCATTAGGCGGTTGCGATTGCTGCGTACCATCAAGCACCGCGCCGTTTGCCACGTTACGTGAGGGCAAAAAGTTAGAACTGAAGTTGTTGAAGAGGTGTGGCGCAGCCTGGTATCCAAGATTAGTAGTTTGTAAACCCGACAGAAGAGATTCAGAAGGCAGTCCGGTGGAGGATTGGTGAGGAAGATTAGAACCGAAAGCAGGCAATTGTTGTTTTGGGGAGCTAACAGCGCCGCAAGCGGACAACTGTGTGACGCCCGTCTGGCAAAGGGCTTTCGTTGGCATCTGCACCGCGCTAACCGGACGAGGATTGGCATGGAGACTTCGATCCAATGAAGCATGAATAGACAAAGCTGCTGTGGGGATGGACATTAAAGGAATAGCGGTCTGGGAAGGTTTTGTAGACGTCTGCTTCTGGTTATCTAGGTCGTCCGACGGACCAGTAGTTTTGTTTGCTGGCCCATTTTCTGCCGTATTCGTCGCCGGAGCCGACAACCCAGAGCTACAGAAGTAAATGTATACATAAAATCAAACCCTTCCGGAGCCGTAGGTTGATCTTCGGACTCGGACCCCATTATTCGACGCCTAGCAGCCGCATAGTCCGCCTCACGCTGCTCGAGGGTTTTTGTAGGAACAAATGGCCTGAAACGGATTCAGTGAAGTAGGTTTACAAATGACGGCATGTGAACAGGATCACTAATTCGTAAATAAACCAGTAACGGGATCAAAAACTTCTTTGAGCTAACGCATACTTACTGCGCATTGTCGGGAACTTGATTATTGACCTGAATAGGCGGCCTACGCAGGATACGGATGGGTGGTTGGCTCATAGAGACTCTTGACTACTCGGATGTATGAATGAAGGTGGGATTCAAACCTAATTTTTTTCAGTTTACCGACATTTTTACCCGATTTTAGGCTACAAAAGGACGTATTTACATCCCCCGTCCGGTCACGTAAAAATGACAGAGGTACATGACCTAGGCGAGCGCTGCGGTCCAGGGGGATCAAAAGTGGCGTCCATTAAAACAAAATAGGCGTTTCAGTTTTATCCAGTCGAAGTCATGGATATCCTGAGCTTGGACCGAATGCTGCTAACATAATGATAACATCAAATTCAAACTACGACTTTAAGTTCAATTAATGTTTCCTCAATGTTGTCTTACTGTCTCAGATGTGCATAATTTGGGAACTGGCATGAAACAGCTTAACATAACTGTGCTCTAAAAAATGCTCAGAAACGGACCAGGTGTCTGTAGCTGCACAGCAGTGAGCGTGTGGAGCCTGCGTACTACTACTGCCAGGTCAGATCCCATGTTGTAAGGAAAAGACTTAATGGACTAGAATAAGGGAGCTCAAGGGCGAAAGCCTCATTCTCTTAATAATAAACTGACTAAAGGGTTTTAATGTATACAGAACACTGAGTTGTCCTCTCAGGCGGCAGTGGCCACTAGTGAAGCCAGGACTGGTGTTGACTGCGTCCAGTCATGCCTGAGAGTCCCTGGGACAGTGGTTACGACCACTTTTGTAGGCTCGAGGGCTAAGTTCAAATGGTATCCAGTAGGTGTGTCTTGTATTTGGCGGGCGTTGGTGCCCCTGTGGCTCATGTTGTTGGTTGCAGGGGGTGGCACGTCCAAGTGGCGCATGGACAGCTGCGACTCTGTGCGGACGCAGGTATACCCGAGCTTTTGGTCATGTGATTTCGGGTCAGAGCGTCTGGAACGGCTCACTGCAAAAGCTGAGTGACTTAGGGGCTGCGGGGTCTTGAGCAATCGCTCCACACCGGTCAGGATGGCTGTCCGCTAAAAGTCCACCAAATTTGCTACAGCAAGTTTTTTTCAGATTCTCTGCATATATGGCGAAAATCTTGTGTACTCTTCCAGTGGGAAGTCTGGTAAGTTAACTTACGGGCGCTGAGTCACATTCACCAAACGGGTAATTAGGAGGGCCCCAAGATGGAACACTGTACTCTTAATCCTCCGAACACTACCTAGCCTAATTTTACCTACGTCCACTTTTAGAATAGTCGGTTTCCTAACTGGCTGGGTTGGTGTCCTAACTCCCCTTTTCTTGTGATCTATGCCTGGCTGGCTGGCTAGCTGAGAACTAACGTCTGTGCTGCCCTGACTGAATGATGTAATTAATCGTGCGGACGATACTCTACGAATGTTAATGTATCCTCCATGACTAACACCGGCTTATTAGCCTCCCCATCACGCAAGAGTCCTGTTCACTAGGCTCGATTGCACAGGATACGTTGAGACTGTCTTCATGGATCTTGGCCAAGTAGTTGGCGCAGTTCACTGTGGGTCGCTCGCAGAAAAGCTTTGTAGGTACACATTGGCTGGAAATACCATCCAATCGACTGGTTGCGTTATTCACCTTTCGACCTGCATCGTCGACTGGGTTGTCCATCAAATGTATTCCTTTGATCCTCACGTTGTGCCAGATATGAACCCATGCTGCAGAAGTGTCCCTACGTGGTTAAAGTACAGGACTGCGAGACGTAGTAATCAGAATGCTGTTAACGTTTGTAGACGAGTTTAAAATTCCGAGCCGTACCGCAGACTATGCTTTTGATTGGGCAGTTTTTGTACCGACCTATACGTTCGCTGAGGCACACAATAGCTTTAGTCTTGGCAATACCCATTCGAGGACTTTGTAAACTAGGGATAGCAGTAGTTATCAAGACAGGATATCTCCCTGCTTTGCGCACATTGGTGACTATATAGCACTACTTAAGAAGCAAAAGTTGTTTGTTTTCTGCCACTTTTTCCCTTATTGTGAGTTTTTCTACCAGATTTTCATATTTTCCTCTTTTTTCCGTCTTTATCATTCCGTTTTTAAACGCATTTGGTTAACTATTCAACATTTCCTACGGCTTAATGGTTAATTCTATTATCGCTTCAGGCTGAGTACAGTCTGTGTGCATAGGTACGATGAAATTAGGGTAGTGCCAGTTGTTGGCGGGACACTTAACGTTTCAAGTCTCGGGACCTCACTACTTTGCTTTGCCAATGCATAACAGGATGGGACAATATATCAGGCGGACAAACAATAACCTAACTCCGCAGAAAGGAATTAGTCACCTATGTGAATGGTCCGGTAGATGACCTATCAATGCAAGCTGATGTTCTCTTTGTTAGTAAAAGAGTTCAAAGAAAGGCGACAAAGTGCGTCAGGGGGCTAAAATCCATATCACGCTAGTAACATGCACATTTTCATCTTTTTCCCAAAGAACATAGGCAGACACTATGTAAGCTTACACTGGCCATTCGGATTGGAAGGAAACGGGACTGTGAACAGAGCTGCCATGATTGATTCGTATTAGCCACAACAAGCAAGATGCGGGGGAATTCCATTATAATTGGGGAGACTTGCGACACCTGGATTTTGGTCAACACTCCTCACCTCCGCGTAATCTTTATAGGCACAACAGAACCACCTTAACCCCAATTATGTTCGGCAGTTCAGTTTAGTTCACTATGTTGGATGGTAACAGACAGTGCCTTTGAAGATGTAATATTCCAAGTGAGATGGAGACAGACAGTCCAAACCATACATGATGACGTATAACGTGGAGACCAGTGACGATTAGTTATTTAGTATTGATAATAAAGCACACACGAAGTGCGGATTGACGAAATTGAAATACAGGTCAGACTCCTACCGAAGTTATTGTCAATTGGGCAGACCTAAAGAATAAAAACAAGAAAGAAAATGTTACCAGGAAGGTATAAACAAAGTACACCTGAAGTTTGGTATGTGTGACAAAGCCTCCCTTTCCGAAAAGCCACTGTCTTCTGTGGCTGGAAGGAGAAACTCCGATGATTCGGCCAGCTAGGGATTATGATAGGTGGGTCATGAAGTTCGAGGGAATGACCAGCCTTTAACTTGTTAAAGTGGACGATGTGTGTGTTCGGGTTGTCAGCCTCGCGTATTCGGTAAACATTGTTGGGTAAACGCTGGGCGACGGAGAACAGGCCCGACCACGGATAATGGAATTTACTAGGTTGTCCAGATGGAGGATTTTCCCTGTGAAGCCACACCACATCGCCTGGTTGGAACGGTGAGTCGTGTCTTTGTCCAAAGGGAGTTGAAATACCCGGCCACAAGTCCACATAGCGGGAGTGAAGCCTGTCGACTTGTGCATTGCACTGCAGTAGGATAGTTGACAATGGGGGATAAGGGTGTCCCAGATGTCATTGTTGGCTAAATCTATGAAAGTTCGTAATAGGGACAAAATAGATTTGTTGGTTCTTTCCGTCTGTCCATTGCCTTGTGGGTGATATGCTGTAGTCCTTGTTTTCTGTATGCCGAGTCGGCTACACAGTTTATATACTGGGTGGCTTTCGAAATTGGAACCTTGGTCGGATGGAATAACACTTGAGGTCGATGTCGTATACATCGACTTCCGCAAAGCTTTTGACACTGTCCTGCACCAACGTCTTCTTCACAAATTGAGCGCCATCGACATCCGGGGAGATCTTCTGGACTGGATTAGGACGTTTCTGGTTGGTCGGAAACAACGTGTCTGTATCGGGAATGATATGTCAGAATGGGTAAACGTGACCAGTGGTGTGCCTCAAGGCTCAGTTCTGGGACCATTGCTCTTCATCCTTTACGTTAACGGCAGCCTTCAGGAACTCGACTGCGGCAAAATAATGTTTGCAGACGAAGTTAAGCTCTGGCAAGTCATTAAGGGTCCGAATGATCAGAGATTCCTTCAAGATAATCTGCACCGACTGCAAGCGTGGTCGAAGAAATGGCTTCTAAAGTTCAATGTGGAGAAGTGTGCCGTCCTTCGTCTGCGTCCAACCAACTCTCATTCAAATGAGAGCCTGAGGGCATATCTCCTGAAAGATATAAGGCTCGCCGCACAAGCTTCACAGAAGGATCTCGGGGTTTGGATACAGAACAACCTGAAACCAACACTGCAGTGCCACAAGGCTGCAAAAAACGCCATGGGAGTGCTGCATGCAATCAAAAGGGCTTTCGTAACCTTTGACCAAGACCTTTTTGGGAGAGTTTACGGCACTTTTGCTCGGCCCCACTTAGAATATGGCATTCAAGCATGGCGGCCATGGCTAGTAAAGAACCAAGCATGCCTCGAACGAGTACAACGGTGTGCAACAAAGCTGGTAAACGGTCTAAAAAGCCAATCCTACACAGACAGACTGAATTGCCTTAATTTATTCCCTCTGTGTTACAGACAGCAAAGAGGTGATCTTATCCTCGTCTACAAGATAATACATGGCCTTGAGCATGGACTTAAATTTGAGGACATGTTTCAGTGGCACCTTTTACCCAATCTTCGTGGTCACTCGATGAAGTTGCGGACAACAATGTCTAGGCTGAATCTTCGTTCTGAATTTTTCACGCAGAGAGTAGTGGATAAATGGAACGATCTCCCTCAGTCAGTCGTGGAGGCTACTTCCCTGCAACTCTTCACGAAATGCTTGAATAATTATTTGTGTGCCCTGTTTTCCCTCGGCAGTCTGAATCTGAACTAATACCCCACGACCCCCCAAATATTTTCTCTAAGACAATGATAATCAAACGAACGAAGTACCGTTTTAATAGTCAATATTTTTGTTCGTGTACAGTTATTTCCAACAAGCTGACATGTTATCACTAGGGTTTTCAAAGGCTTTGCCTTTTATCCTTACCAAATAAACTGAAAAAACCCCGAAACGGACAATCCACGTACACATAATAGCGTCCGCGACCTTAGCCATTGTCTGGTCAGGCAGGGGGACTGCTACCGTCCATTTGGTGAAAAAGTCGACTATCACTAAAAGGTATCGATTACCCTTCCCTGATTGTGGGAAAGGGGCCACGATGTCGACTCCAAGGCGCTGATTCGAGTAGCCGATGGAAATCAGTTGCGACGGTGCGCTGCGATTGTGCGTGGGACGTAAACTGTGCCTGTAAACTGGCATTTAATAAATTAAATTAAATCGCGCGCAGTCTTCACACTCTGGGCATATTAGTGCCACATCTTGACGAAGATTAGGTGACCAGAAGCGAAGTCTCGCCACTTTTTCCAGTTTGCCTTGTCCCGCGTGACCCAGCTGGTGGTGTATCTCCCGTCAGCCACTGCGTGTATGAGACGGAGGGAGGACGAGGCGGGTCAGGGATTGGGGATCATACTGGAAGAAAAGCACTCGATCTCTCATGAGAAGGTTTTGCCAGGAGGCCCACAGGGCTTGGGCTTCACGGTTTTCTCTTGACATCTGATTTTTCGACAGTCTGATGGAACCTCGCACGAATCAGTCGTAGATGAGACCGAAGTCTGGATCGTTGGCTCGTAGGTTAGCCCAGTTCACCGCCGAAGTTGTCATCGACAGAGCACTAACATAGAGATCTTGGCAAGCGGAGCACCTGTGGAGCTCGCTCATGGAAATTCGCGATAGTGCGTCCTCGTTGATGTGTTGCTTTCCAGGGCGGTGTACAAAGGTAAAGTCAAAATCCGCCAACGTTTCCTGCCACCATGCTACTTGTCCTTCCGGTCCGTGGAAATTTTGTAGACATTCCAGAATTGAGTGGTTCATCCTGATGATGGACGGTTTGCCTTTTAGGAACGCAGCAAAGTTTCTGGTGAAAAAACCAAAGGTAGCATCTTGCGCCGTGTGGCGCTATAATTTCTTTCCGATTTATCAAGCGTACGGCTGCCGTACTGCATAACGGGCTCTCTGCCGTCGGTGTCTGACTGCGACAGTACTCCTCCTATGGCGTGACTATTAACATCTGTATATAGGAAAAATGGGGGTCCGTCACGGCTGAGAACGGGGGTGACGGTAAGGGCTTATTTGAGGCGGGTGAATACGTTTTCGCACTCAGTTATCCACCTAAATGGTCGGGATTTCTGGGTCGGTTTCGCGAGGGGGAAGGCAAGGAGAGTGTATGACGGAATGCAAGCCCTGTAGTATCCTGCTAGGCCAAGGAATGATCGAACTTCATCTCCGTTGACCGGTTGTGGCCAGTCTTTGACTCCCTGGATCTTGTCGGGGTCCGTTCTGAGGCCCACGCTGCTTACCATGTGTCCGAGGAAGTGAATTTCTGTGTGGAGAAACTTGCACTTCCTTTGATTGAGCGTCATGCCGGCCTCCTGGTACCGCGTTGGCACCTCTGAAAGGTTGTCTAGCAGTTCTGATATCGTGGTACCCCACACTATGACGTCGTCTAAGTAAGCAAGGCACTTCGATGGACATGGGTTCTTTAGTAATTTCTGAATGAGACATTGGTCGGTCACCGCTGCATTGGCCAAGCCCATAGGTAGTGCGGTGAACTGGAAAAGTCCTGAGGGCAGGGAAAAGGCGGTATTGGCGCGATCCTCTGGATGTACTTCGATTTGCCAGTAGATTGGGGAGAGCTCGAGGGTAGAGAAGCATTTATTCCCTGTCATAGAGGCTAGGAGGTCATTCATAGGGGGAAGACGAAAGGAATCTGTGACCGTGACCGCGTTGAGGCATCTGTAATCAACACAGGGTCGAAGAGAATTGTCTTTCCTTTTGACCAGCGTTATCGGCGCTGCCCACGGGGAAGCGGAAGGTTGAACAATGTCTTGTTGGAACATGTTTTCTACAAGTTTATTTAGTTCATTCCGAAAGTGAAAGGGTATCCGTCGGGAAGGGAGGTGATGTGGAAGGGCAGATCCGGTGTTTATTCGGTGTTAAATTACGTTGGACCGTCCAACAGCATGGTCTGCCCACGTGAAAACGGATCTGAACGGCACCAACGCGTGGTATAGGGCACGACGATCATCGGCCGAAATGTTGTCCGGTAGGATGTCTTCGATGGAAGAAGGGTCGAGAGGTGGTCATGCACCAATTTCGACACTGTTTCCGTCCACGGTTACCTTGTCGTCTTTGAGGATGAGGGACTGAGAATTGGGGGGAGGTAATGGCTTGGGCATGCCGTTTTAAAAAGTCACAGCCGAGTATGACATTCCATTTGGGTTCGGAGGACACGAGGAAGTAATGTCGGATAGTTTTGTCTTTGATGGAGACTGGTACTGTGGCGGAGAAGATACGCAGGAGGATAAAATTATTAGCAGTGAGAATCTATAGTTAACGAAATTCCAACTGGTTTTAGTTCGTTCCGCGGAGGAGGCTAAAGTAAATATGGGAGACGTCTGCGCCCGTGTCTATAAGAATGCTGACTCTCTTATTTGCCACTGTGCCCCAGATTGTTAATGGCTTAAAATCAGAGGGGAGGTTTATAAGGCGACCAGGGGGTAAAGGCTGGTTACCTGCATTGTGGCCGCATTTCTTGGCGGCTGTGCCAAAGCGGTTGCAGTTGCAACAGTGAGGGTTGTTCGGTGGACCTTGAAACTTGGGAGGTTGGGTGTGGTAGGGTGTGAACCGGCCTGGAAGGTTGGGAGGGTGACCCTACGTACTTGGGTCTCTGGTGGTTTGATGTTCCTGAGCCAAGGGAAATTGGGTGCGTCGAGCCGCGTCCAAGTCAAGAGTCTCCTTGACGTTGGCCGGTGGACGGCTGGTGAAAATCAACGTTAGTTCTCGGTCGTGTATACCCGACATCATGCAACAAAACGTTACGCATTCGTCGCCGTGGGGTGGAAAGGCGCGAACTGACAGGCTTTTTAATTCTATATGAAAACTTAACAGAGTCTCGCCTTCCCGTTGGGCTCTATTGGAGGACCGCTGTTGTTCCGCGACTTGGCTTGACTCCGAATGAAATATTTATTGAAGGGCACCAAAGTATTCTTCAAATGAGCAGAAGGGAGAGGACGCCAGTCCATCTACCTTGTTTACAAGTTCGGGGGCGAAAAAGTGATTTAAGCGTGGTCTTTCTGACGTTATCGGGGACCGAATCCGAGTAAGGCTCTGTTGAAGAGATCCATTGATCTAGATTGTCACCATGACGTAGGACCGGGGGTTTTATCGGATGGGGAGTGAAGGCTAATATGGAAGATGTCGGGTAGAGTTGAGTTGGTGGTGGGGTTAGAACAGGCTTTGGCCGAGAACAGTATTGTATGTTTTTGAAGTGTTGGGCAAGACTGGAATAGGTTTCAGGAGGGGCGAAGGGTGACGGAGGCACGCCGTTGTGATTTTTGGGCGTGAGTCAGGCGTTACCGTGGGTTCTCGAACGGGATCTTTCGAGCCGGGCATCGCTGCCACCAAATTTGTAATATTCCAAGTGAGATGGAGACAGACAGTTCACACCACACACAATGACGTATAACGTGAAGAGCAGTGGCGAGTATTTATTTAGCATTAATAATAAAACACACACAAAGTGCGGATTGACGAAATTGGAATACAGACCAGACTCTTATCGAAGTTACTGTCAATTGGGCAGACCTAAAGCATAAAAAAAGAAAATGTTACCAGGAAAGTATAAACAAAGTACAACTGGTGTTTGGTGTGTGTGTGACAAAGACCCTGCTTAGACGGCACATGCCATATTCCAATTCAAAGGGGCATGCTACAAAGTGTTGTTAACAACATATACATTTAATAGAGCATTATCTCAAAAATATGGGACCGCAAACCGCAGTTGTGGAAGATAGTGTAAAGTATGAAATAATAGTCATATGCATTAGCGTTAGGTATATGCGAAGCGCTGGTTGGTGCAACAGAGCTTTTCTGACCATCTGGGCGATATTTTTAAAACAAAAATACATCCGATTTTTTAATGTGTATGTTGGGTCTGCGATTATTACGTCCTCAAAAAGTCCGTTCTAGGTACCGACAACTCTCTGCGAAAACGGGTACCTACGATCATCTAGGCGAAATCTGATCCCTCGAAGTTTGTGGGAGTTCTCACGTAGGTTTGTTGCCGTGGTCAATGAGAGGTAGTACTCGAAGTGCAGGGCAGAGTCCCGATTCCTCACAATCCGGTAGGTTTTCATTAGATCTCTTCGGATCTGCCAGCACTTAAGAAAAAACTGGTTATGTGCACCAAGTCTGCGTTTGCAAGTTAAAGTCTTAACGCCTTTCACGATTTTGGTCGTCATTCTCTGGACCCTTTTGACCAATTTATTATGTTTTTAGCAGGGCGCACCACACCTGGATTTTATACCTCAGCTGCAAGGGAATAAAGGCCCCATATTAATTTTTAAACAGGTCTATACCTATGCCAATGAAGTTCTTTCAATGGCAAAGTATACATTAGTTGCCCTTTTCGTCGTCCTGACGCATTGAGAGGAGGGCTTCAGAGATGACTCAGTGATTATTCAGGGCCCCTTTTGACCGCATTTGACAGGAACCTTTCTTCAAGGAGGTACTGATGATCATCTCCATCTGCTCTCCTTCTTCGTATTGAGAAGCAGTGCGACACACTTTTCAATGTTGAAATTCAGCAGCCGTTTTTCAGACCAGTCACGTAGGCAGTTAAGTCCTTCTTGCACAGTCAATTCATGAGTTTCGCATTTGATCGCACGCCACATTTCAATGTCATCCGTAGTCAAGTCTTTTCACGCAGATATTGACATAAATCAAAAACAGAAATGGTCCGAGCACAGAGCTCTGAGATACCGCACTCACAACTGGCACTGACAATCATTTCGTACTGCCAATGCGCACAGACTATTATCTACAGATCATGAAGTTCTCTACCCAGTCTGGTAGGTTTGCCCTTATGCCGGACTCACGGACCTTGTAGAGTAACCGAGAGTGTAGAGCACTATGAAATGCCCCCTGTAAGTCGATGCAAACGACATGGACTCTTGTGTCCTCCGCTAACGAGCTGGATCACTGCACCATCAAATGGATTATTTGGTCAAAAACATTTCTCCCTCGGAATTCATGTTGAATGCTGTAAAAGGAATACTAATCCTCGAGGACCTTTATAGTAGGTTATGTTTATGATCCTGCTAATAACTTTGCTACAGATGAAGGCTGGACTCACCGACCGACAGCCGTTAGCACTTATTTTAAACCCACCTTTGTGAATGTAGTATGCATTCGTCGCATTCCAATCAAAGGTGAGAATGCCTCGATCAAAGGACGTGTAGTGACATGAAAAGCCTTTTGTTTTAGTGAATCAAAAATACGGCCTGTAAAAAATTTGACACAACTTTCAAAAATAATTCATCGTCAGGCCTCCAGATTACAAAAGAGGATACGAAATTTTACTACACTGCGGCAACATTGCAAATGGATATTATCATGGACCTTCGCAACATTATATGCTGTCCGTCCACAGAAGCCCCATATACTGCTCTGAAGGAGGCTCACATCTGCATTCCCCTATCAATACAAAAGCGTCTACAGTGCTTGATTTCCGAGGAGGACCTCGGTAACGGGAAGCCCACGCAGTTTCTTACGCGTTTGGAGCGGCAGACGCACGGCCAAAATCTTGATGTCACCATATAAATAAATAAATAAATAAATTTTTTATTTAATGCCAGTTTACAGGCATTGTCAAGGGAAGCGATTAAACACAAATCCGACCAGCAGTGAAAAAAACTCCTGAGCGAAAGGGATAAAAATACAGTTGATGGTGGTTTTTATGGTTTGGAGGGCTCAGGAGAAAAAACTGCCGGCGGTTGTAGAATATCGACCGTCAAGAAGGGGGGAGGTTGCACGGTATCGGAGATTATCGGACGTCAAATCCCTTTCATGAAGTTGGGGATAGCCAAAGTAGAGGCGTTGAGGAACAGCTGGTGAGACCGGCCATAGTGTTCAGAGACCACAAACGCCATCGCTACGGTACAGTCGATCAGAGTTTTCAGCACCCAAAATTTGTGGGAGCTTTTCTGAATGCAAAAATCGAGTAATAGTTCTCTTAAATAAAGAATAATTTTGCAGAATTTTCACACTCATGGGTAGTTTATTCCAAATAGCAATTGCATTTACGGAAAAGAACCGACGATATTTAACAGTACGTGCTAGAGGCAGAAATAAAAAGACCTCACGGTGACTGTTACGTCGTGGGTGGATATGATGTCTTAAAGAGGTGAGTGGGTTAAATGTGTGATTATATAAGAGTTTAAATAGCAAAAATAGTCCCTTTTTTAGTCTACGGAACCATAAAGGGTCGAGGCCTGTAAGCCGGCAACGTTCTTGGTAAGACAAATGTCGGTGTTCCGGGGTTAAAATTCTCTTGGTAAAAAAGTGTTGAACGGATTCTATTTTCTTCCGCTCAGTAGCACGCATGAGGCTAAATGAAAACGAACAGTATTCCAGACCAGGTCTAAAGAACATGTTGAAAAGGCGCATTCTGATGTCCCTAGTTTTAAAATTTCGGAGGATAAACCCGGTCGTTCTGCGTGCTTTGTAGACTATCAAGGCACAGTGCTCCGAGAGATTGAGACTCTTGGAGTATGATACGCCCAAATCCTTCATAACCCCTGGCACATTTATTGCGTGACCTTCAATACTTAGTTGAGGTTGGCGGTCGTCGCCAACTACCATGACTGACACTTATGCCAGGAAAGAGAAAGGCGCCATGTGCGGCACCACTGGGCGAAAGCCTGTAGATCGCTCTTTAGGAGCTCGAGCACGATGTCATGATCTGCCGGCTTATATCGATATGCAACTTTAAGATCATCGGCATACCTGAAAGGCTTACCATTCTGAAATAAATCGGGTACACCATTAACGAAAAGGCAAAATAAAAGCGGGCCGAGTACACTACCCTGAATGACTCCACTCCTCACACGTGTGGGGTTGGAGATGGTATTGGAAATCTTAACGCGTTGTGTACGAGTGCCCAAATAAGAGGATATAAAATTCAAAAGTTTGCCACCTATTCCGAAAGAGGACAATTTCAAGAGGAGAAGAGCATGGTCAACACGGTCAAAAGCCTTAGTGAAATCGAAATATACTGTGTAAAGAGCAAAACCATGGTCCCTAGATTGGAGAACATAGTCAAAGAAAGAGAGTTCACAGGTGTCACAAGATCGAGCTTTGAGGAATCCATGCTGAGCAGCACTCAGTAAGTTATTCGCTGTTAAGTGACACATAATCTTATCTTTGATCAATGTCTCTAAGATCTTCGAAACTGCGGGGAGGGTGTTTAATGGCCGACAGTCATCAAATGATGTAGATTTGCCGTGCTTAGGAATGGGCAAAATGTGTGATTCCTTCCACAAGGTAGGATAAGTTTCACTTTCAAGAGCAAGATTAAATATCTTGCATAAGAGGGATGGGAAGATCGTGTTTGCATCGGCTTTTAAAATGCTTACAGGGACACCATCAGGGCCTGGACTAAAAGATTGACGAAAACGCCGAATCGCAACAGTCACATCCCACAGAGTGAAACTTATAGTTTCTAGAACTGCCCCGGTCAATGACTGGATGGCCGGAAGCGGAGTGGTCGACTCTTCATGCAATTGTATTGGCCTGAGGAAGAATTACCGAAAACGTGCGTTCGCCAACTTGACTTTTCTTCAATAAACGTTTTGGACAGGAAATCATTGAAGCTATCCGCGGTTAACTGGGCATCAACTATGGGATTTCCGAGATCGTCTCGAAGGATGGGATACTGCGTCTTTCTCTGAGTTCGTAGTTTTCTAGAGAAAAGTTTCGAGACATTTTACGAATGGTTTTCGGTGAACTGGACCTCTTCGACTAGCTGTTTTTCTTCAGACAATCTCTTAGCTCGATCAAAAATATCACAAATCAAGGGCAGAACAGAAATATCGTTCTGCAGATGGAAACGACGATAAAGTCTGTGCAATCTGCGACGAAAGGGTAAGGGTAGGAAAATCCCATCCCCAACATTAATAATTTTCTTACGGGGGACAAAACGAGAAATAAGCGGATCCAAAATTTCGTACAGTTTTGCAGTGCAAACATTTACATCCGCACTAAGGAAGAACTCAGTCCAGTCGTAGGAATTAAGGTGTGTTAATAATTCAGTTGAGCGAGTTGATCGGAAATCGCGGAATAAGTTATACTTTTGGGACGACATTTCGTCAGCCTCGAATTCCAACGTTGAAACAACTATGTCATGGTCTGAGCCCCCGAGTGGGCCTAGGGATGACACTGACGATGGCAAGCAGCCTCTACAGAAAATTAGGTCAAGTATACTTGAGCCTCGGGTGGGAAAATCGACAACCTGAGTCCACATCCCGACATCCACAGCCTCAAGAAAGTCATCGAACCTTCTGGGGCCTGAAGGCGGAGACCAGCGGACTTCAGGGAGATTAAAGTCACCCGCAACCAGTTGATACTTAAAGCTTACGTCGGCCGCAGCATGAAATGCCTGTGAGAGTAAACGATCAAAATTTTCATTGGCGTTGGGAGGGCGATAGACGCAGCCGATGAGTAAGGAGAACTTATTTTTTAGTGCAACCTGGAGCCAGCAGCTGCCTTCTACTGCGGAAAAGTGCGGGAGGTCCAACGGCAAAAATGTAAGTGTTTGCTTAACGTAGACGCAGCTGCCCCCACCACGACTATCTTGGCGATCATTTCGAATGCAATTGTAGCCTAGAAGAGAGAGTTCGGAGTCAGCTACTGAGGCTGATGCCCACGTCTCAGTTACTAAAACAGTATCAGGACAATGGACGAACACCTGAGTCTGAAACAAAGGCATCTTATTAAGCAAGGATCTGGCATTTAAAACAAAAAGTTTGAAGGGAAAGGCTGTTAGTTTTTGAGGGAGGTGGGCTACATCGTCCATTTCAGGGTCGCCCACGGAGCAAACGGTCCGGATGCAACCATCCGCTTCTGCAAAAATTTTGTGGCATCGAAAAATTCTGACGTGGATAAAAAGGGGTAGGACTTGGGGGAGGGAATGACGGGCAGGTAAACTGGTAACTATTGTTAGCTAACTTATTTTCAGCTGGAAATCCGCGTGGCAGATACTGCAACGTATTCCCGCCGGAACGAAACTGGGGATCGGATGAATTAACTGATTCAGTATGGACATTATCATGAGGAATAAATTGGTAAAACGGCCATGGAGGAAACAGGTTAGGGGGTGGGGGACGCATTGTTTCCATTGGAGCAAGAGTTTTATTAAACGGTGGGAAAATCGGCATATTCGGCCTAACTGCCTCGATATGAGGGCTGGGGGGCAGTTGGGAACACGGTACGTTTTGAGTCGGGGTATTTGAGGCACTGTTAGCCGATTGTGGAGGAAAAGATTTTATAATGGTGCTGGATTTATTGGGTGTCCGAGTGGCTGAGACAGCAATTGGATTTGCCTTTGACTTAGACACATGCTTAGGCTTACTAGGGGTTGCTGAGGCAGTCGATAGAGGCGTGTTTATACTAGGCGTGGTGGTGTGTTTAAAGAGGTCAGCATTAAAAGTAGTCGAACTCCCTACGGAATTGACTATGCCGTGACTTGCAGATGCCGCAGGTGGTGTTGTAGAGGACATATTCAGACTGACAGTAGGTGTCATTATCTTAGTGTTGGTTTTTGCCGATTTTATTTTATTCAATCTTCGCTGCAGGGGTGTGAGGTCTGGCGAAACGCAGCAGCGCCATTTACGGCAGATGTCTCTAGCCATCTCCCTACTCGACAAGATAAAATCGACTTCTATCATGGAGAAAAGGGTAACTAGTATCGGCGCATTACGACTAAGCGAGCGAAGTCGCTTAGCTTGTGCGACACTAAAACTCAAGCCACAACTTTGCAGGAACAAATGCGTTCCCTCCATAGCAGATAAGTGGCTCGGAATGTTTCGCAGTACGAAATTATGCTTGCGTTTAATTCGTTCCTCAGTTTCCGAACTTATTACCCCAATAAGTTTAAAAGCTTGTTCAATTACTTTTTCAGAAGTGCTGTTTATGTCGCCATAAATCAGCTGATCGATTATTTCGCCGGCTGATGGCCTGCTACGACTAGCAGAGGCGTATTTTTGGACGACTGAAGGGTCGAGAGGTTCTACATGTACTAAAGGGATTTGTGAGTTAATCAGATCTGCAGACGGCGAAGAACATACGCTGGCGTCTGCCATGTCTTCAGTCACAATTTTAGCACCCAGAGACGGTGGGGAGGCCGCAAGCTTTCGCCTTTTAGCACGTGCTCTGCGGGGCATCACAGACAAAAAAAGTTTTTCGTTACAGAAGAAGGATCAAAACGTTGCCAACGTACGGAAAAGCGCACTGAATAGCAAGTATTACTATTTTATAACTGCAAAAACTAGAAAGCGGTAGTAGAGAAAGGATTCACTACAATGGATTTTTTACAAAATACGACTATTTTGCCAGACTGTCAAACAGACTGGGAAAAAATTTTACCTTATATAGAAAGACGACTTTTAAAACGGACTCAAGTAAAAAAACAGGCATTAATTACTTAAGAATATCCAGATAAATGCAGAGCTTCACTTATCTTTGAAATTGAGCTGCGCGCCTTGACCTTGAAGCAGCTTCTCCTCCAACGGCAGTCCTCTTTCGTCCAAGCTATCCTTGCGCCTTAATTCCTTCTTCGTCTGCACAGATGCCCGCGGGGCCTGCTGACGGCATCCTCGAGTACTACCGGCCTGCCGTTACAGTAAATGTTGCTATTCGCATCACGGCTGCGCCAACTACGCCTTCAATCGAGAATGTCATGGAACGTCAAGACCTCCTCATACCTTAAGTTTTCCAGCTTCGTGCTTTACGTGTCTCTCGCTGTCAAAGTCCGTCCACTGCCCGCCGTCTGAGGTATCCCACTGCAGTGTCAGCCCCGTCCACCTCTGATAGTTCCTGCTACTCCCACCGCACCTATGGGTTAAATGCCCATCACTGCCAATCCCAATGTCGTTGCGAGAAATTTTCGGCGGAAGATGTGCCTGCCGGTCGGTAACGACGGCGAACTTGGTCAGTTCAACCTCCCCAAGTCGTCTGATTCACAGTCTCGACAAGGGTTCCGGCTATAATTTTCTTGTAGACACTGGTGCTGACATCAGTCTCATACCGCCTTCTCTGACTGATCGTGAGTCACCAAACTCTTCAATTTTCTCCAAACAGCCAATAGTACACCTAGTAAAATATTTAGTCAACGATTCCTGACTTTAGGCCTTGGGTTACAAAGTCCTTTCCGGTGGATATTTGTTATTGCTGATGTTCATGCCGCCATTCTCAGTGCTGATTTTATATTGTTTTTCGGTCTTCTCATTGATACCGGGTCCCATAAACGTTTTGGCCCGATGACATCCTTATATTCTAATCGTTCAAATTGTACCATTTCATACCCTGGTCCATGCACTTCAATACTTCCATTGTCCATTCCCTTTTATCATTTTCTTTCAGAATTTTCGCCTATTAGCCGGCCTCCGCAGTTCGACGAGCCCATTAAACATTCCGTCATGCATTATATTTCGACTACGGAACCACTCGTTTTAAGACGTCCTTGTCGTTTAGTGGCTGACAAATTGGCTATCGCCAGGGTCGAATTCAGCCACATGATGGAGCTTGGCATACCGCGGCCCTCTTCTAGTCCATGGGCCGCTCCTCTGCACATGTTGTACAAAAAGTTTCTCGCGTACTAGTGTCCATGTAATAATTACCGACGACTTAAAAACTTGTCAATACAACGGGAGATGCGAGTTCCGGGAACTAGTTGATAAGAAGCAGAAGCGGTCGCTGGAACAACAGCCTTATTCGCCTGACGTTTCAGATTCTTGCTCCAATCCATCATCAGAGACAGTGGCAGAAACGCCGAGTGGAATCCCCGTGCCTCACTGCCGTCACTCATTACCCCTGCCACAAACCACCACCACCACCACCACCACCACCACCACCACCACCACCACCACCACCATCACCATCACCACCACCATCACCACCTCCACCATCACCTACCAAAACGTTCTTGGCGTCCCGAAAACCACCAACACAATAGCCATCATCACCCCCCACCTCCAGTGATGCGGGTTCGGTCCCAACCTGTCTTAATTGCGATCGCACATCCACATCAAGCATTGGTCTGATGGGTCACTTGCGAATCAATCGTCCCGAGGCTGGAGAACCAGAGCCTGGAGCACCAACATATACTCGCTGCATTCGCTGAAACTGCCCTCACAACCAAATGGGCCTATTCAGCCATATCCTTGACAGCGGAATACACCGCAGGATGAATACGCCTAGCACAACTTGCCCACTCGCCACCCACAGCCCAGTGATTTCCCCATCGACCAGCGCGCCAACCACTAACAACGGCAGCACCACTATCATCACGACTGAAACCTACCCTGTGGCTTGCGACCTATCCTGCCCACACTGTCCCCGCACATTCACCTCACGCATCGGCTCGATCGGTCACTTGCAAATCCATGGCATAGAGGCTGGCGAACCGGTACCTGGAACACTAGCGTACACTCGCCGCATGCGCCTTCACTGTCCACACTGCCCTCGCACATTTACTCACCGCAGAGGCCTTCTGGGGCACATGCGTATCCACGAGAGCGGAATTGACTGTAGTTTCGACGCACCAAGTACCTCCTGCACATCCACCATGTCCAGCTCAACCCACTCCCCGTCGACCAGCTTGTCCAACATCAGTAGCCGCAGCATTACCGAAACCGACCCTGACAGCGCCGACTTCTCCTGTCTACACTGTTCCCGTACCTTCGCCTCACACATCGGCCTGGTCGGTCACTTACGAACCTATAGCACAGAGACTGGCAAACCAGTGCTTGGAGAACCAACATACACCGGATGCATCCGCCTCAATTCCCATCAATGTCCCCTCACACTCACCTATCGTATGGGCCTATTAGGCCACATGCGCATTCACAAAAACCCACGGTAGCCAACCGCCAGTTAAACCACACCATTACATCATCCCCACCTACATCACACAACATCATCACACAAAACAAGTATGCAACTGCCACCTCCCACGCAAGTAGGGAGTGTGCGTTTCGGCTGAGTCACCATGCTGTTTCCTTGCTGCATGTGTGATTCGAGTGTAGGGGGAGAATATTAATGCTGATACAGCTGTTGATGCTTCGGCAACAGAGCACTTCCACCCAGGATGTATGTTCTGTGTCGAGGCAGCCATTGAGATCGCCAAGGACAGCCGGCTTGTCCGACATCGGCACGGTTGCAGGGGTGGTGTGAAGATTTTCAACAAACTTGTTCTTCTCTTCATCAAGTTGGTGATAAGGGGATGGGTGTAGACGCTGAAGGCGGTGGCAAATTTGTTCCCGTGGAGTGATACCCTGTAGCAGGTTGTTTTCGCTACGCGACGCTGTCGCGGTGCGTGCGTCCACCACTATCACCATCTCCGAAGCCCACATTGACACCGCCGACTTCTTCTGACCACACTGTCCCCGTACATTCACCTCCCACATCGGCCTGGTCGGTCACTTGCGAATCCACCACACAGAGACTGGCGAACCAGTACCTGGAGCACCAACATGCACTAGACGCATCCGCCCCAACTGCCCCTACTGCACACGCCGTATGGGCCTATTAGGTCATACGTTCATTCCCGAAAACCTGTGGTAGACAAGCGCCGGCTACGCCACACTATCACATCTTCCTCCACCTACATCACGCACCATCATCATCCACCACAAGCATCCAATTGCCACCTCGCACGCAAGTGGGAAATCTGTGTCTCGGCTTCGTTTCCATGCGGCTCCTCTGCTGCATGTGTGATTCGAGTCTGAGACTGTCGCGGTGCGCCAAGCGCCGTGGCTTTGAGGGCTGCCAACTGACGCTCCAACTTAGTCCCCGCCGTCAGCCCGCTTGTGTGTGTGTGTGTGTGTGTGTGTGTGTGTGTGTGTGTGTGTGTGTGTGTTTGTGTGGAGTGACAAGCTGGTGAACTGAAAGTAAGGCTGCGGCGGCTCCTTCCTAAAGTGATCTCTGGCAGTCTCCCGCATGTGCGATGTATGCCGCCAAACCCCTGTCGGGTGAAATCCTGGCACTCGTGTTTTGGGGGTCATATCGTGCATGTGGCACGCGCAGACGGGGTCCCTAAATGTGTCAGCCACTGCGTCTACTCCCTGTCTCGGTGAACTTGTAGCAGCCGCTCCAGTGCCCCCTTCTCCGGCTCCCTTTTGTCGGCCGATGGGCGCGACAACCGTTGACACGCCGCCGACACACCGCCACCCCCGCCGGCTAGAAGTGAGGCACCTCCTGTCTAGCTGCAGTGACTCTCGACTGCCCTCACAAACCTTAAACATCTCACGCGCGTCTGATGGCCTGGCCCTTGTGATCATGTGCCCCCTATTCCTCCCCTAATCCGTCCAGTCACATGACCAGCACTCAGCCCGTCATCCCCTCCTGCTGACACTGCGTAAATAACTCACCGCGACTGACACTCTCCGGAAACGGACGCTTAGCTCCGATACAAGCAAACAGACAACTCACGGCAAACTGCCCTGTGTACAGAATACACCTGTTCTCACAGCTCCCTGACTTCTGACATTAGACGGAACGGAATTATTGTGTGCGACAGCGGTTGATCTTGCATCCTTGACCGCCACATACTGACCGGCTCAGATAGTGGCTAAGGCCTGGGAATGAGAACAGAGAATGCAGCCAACGACTCAGTTCATTTTCCTAATTATAAACAATCTAACGTGTCTGAGGCTTTCACGGTACGTCAAAAGTCGCGGCTTGGAAAGTTGCCAAACTGACAGGATAACTCTTGGACCTCGCAGTCAGCCCGCTGTGTATTTGTGTGGGGTGGTGGACTGATGGTCTGAGAGTCAGGCTGCAGTGGCTCCTTCTGAATGTGACCTTTATGGCACTCCCACCTAGGGGGACCAGAGACGGGTGTGGTGGCACTCCTAGGGGCAGCTTCGGCCGCGCCAGTTGTTCCTCTTGCTGCTGTTGGTTAAAGTCCTGGCCAAGTGTTTATGTGGACCAGGGGTGTGTTGGTATGCGAGTCCGGCCGTGCTAACCACTTGCGTCCTCTCGCGCCTCCGGTCCTGTTGACTATGTCTTGACTCAGGACCCAGGTGGGGGAGAGGAGAGTGTGGCAGCTGCTGTGCAAGTCTGCTACCACTGTTAGTACCGACGAAGACAAGGGAGACTGTCTCCAGTCCAGTCTCGCTTGTCTTTGCCGGTAATAGCATTCTGCCTATATCATACACCGCCGTGCGACTGCCATATGGGCTCGAGAACGAGCCCATATGGCACAACGGAACGAATGAGTTCTGTAAGAACGATCGGTGAGCGCCCCACTACCATTCTACTACCCCTATCAACTAAGTCACGCACAAGTCATCGTGCCTGCTCTAACCCTTGTGTGGAGCACATGACGGTGTGGTGGCACGCCTAGGTGGGGGCACCTGTCGCACCAACCGCCCGCGCCCTCTTCCACTCCCGGTCTTGGTACCGGGCGCAGGTAGGGTAGGAGGAGACAGCGCGGTAGACGGAGCGCAAGTCTGCTACCACATGAAACGCATTCACGCTTAAATCACCGTCCCTACTCCCACGCTGCTGTGGAGCATACGGTGGACATCCCCGGAAAGGACGGTCGAGCTATCAACGTGAAGAAATGTCCAAACGGTTGCAGTGAGTCAGTGATTCTAATTGTGGAACATAGGGATATAGGAGTAAGCTGAAAGAGAATGGGTTTAGAGGTATCGGGACTACTGCGCAAACTCCGGTACTTAGAAGGAGAGAATTCCATTTCCGAAGTTAGGCATTGCCTAGGGGTTTAGTATCCTATGACAATAAACACATTTCGATCGTTGTCGTTGTCCCTCAAAAAGCCGAGCACACGAATAAGACAGTATCCAGAAAGACACCACTCCAGCTAGGATTTGAGGTCGAAAAGGACGGACCAAATATGACTTCGAAGTCATCGTGTGTGGGTGCATTTCTGATTTCAAGCGAGCTCTAGTTTCCAAAGACTTCTGTGATACGGTTTCCCGGTTGTTTGTTAGAATCTAATTAGGAAAGGACACCACAGAAAATAAGAAATCAAGAATCAAAATGCTCGCAGGATATGGGGGCGAGGAACTGAACAGGAGAAATAGAATGACGAATATCGTCAGGTCTTAATTTGTTAAATGTAGAGTTATTATTTTTAAGCATGGTGTCGATTCAGACATCTAGTTTGGGGAGCCGAAACAGATTAAAACTAACAGCAATAAGATCCTCACCCTCTTGGGAATCGTCACATGTGCTTACTAGACTCGGTTACTGGATAGATTCTAAATGCCAAAAGAAGCTGAGGAAGATTTTGGCGCCGTGTTTTCCCTTCTTAGCGGGTAGTCCGACGCACTAAACACACGGTATGACTATTCAAGTTAAATCTAATTGACAGACAGAGAGTTTGAGTTCTCTGTGACGAAAAAACTAAGAAGGGGGCACTCACTTCTTAATTATCGGTAACCTTTTGTGGGGAACAGCTCTGAGTCAGATGTGGTTATGTAGCCCCATCAGAAGTAACCAAACCCTAGACACCTGTAATACTGGACCGGTGGTAATAGGAGCTATTACAGGTTGGGCCGGAGAACGCACAGGCGACGAGGTCAAGTAGTTGTGTGCAAAAGAAAAGCTATTAAGAATGCGCGGTTGCATTGTGAGTGGTTGAGAAATAGTCACCCTAACACCTAATCCTAATCCTAACCTCCAACCCCTAACCCTAACCCCTAACCACAGTGTCCATCAGGTGGGGCTACATAACCACATCTTACCCAGCTCTGAAAACTAGTTGGCTCAGCAATCTAGGTTGGGCATGTGCGGACGCTGAAATGTAAGATGCCATTTCAGCTGAAGGGGTGAAAAGATGCCATTAGTGAACACAGAGTATTCATCATCTAATCGCAATCTACAGCTCACAATAACTGTCTTTCACGGCTAAAGGGTGTGCCGCGAAAGACAAATAGGAACGGTAAGGTACAACTTCAGTTTGTCGACTACTGTGCACCCGAAAGCTGCCCAAACCCTCATATGTTAGGCCAACGGCGCCGGCCCACCTGCCGCGTCCTGACTGATCTATAAGCGAAAGACGCGGA